GTCTTAAGGCACCTAGAAGTTCTTTTCTGATATTTTTAAATAAATAAATATTTTTTTATATAATTTTGAAATAATAGGATTATAAATTAAATATATTTTTGAATTTTTATAATTTTAATAATAGAGACAATTTATAATTAAAAAGTACCAATTTTGGGCGTTGTAGGGGTGCTAATCCTTCCCTAAACGTAACCGACCACGAATCCCTTTTTATTATTAAGAACGAATTTTTGGTTATAAAACGCAGATCAGTTCATTTTTTTAATTGATGTTTTTTTTAAAAACTCTTTTAAAAGAAAATTTTTTAGGTATTCGACCTACCTGATCCAAAAGGTCGATGGCGACTCACAAATTATTTTCAAAATTATTTATTCACATCAATTTCCCCGCCAAAATAAATATTTCGTGCCCGGACGAAATCCGGTTACGACACAACCAATATAGCATCTGGCCTTTTGAATGCTTCAATAAAATCCTTCTCACTGAAATTAACCCCCACTGCAAACATCAAAAACCCAATGCAGGGGCATAGTACCTAGAAAGAGATCAAATAACAAAAGCATAAGCTAAGACATCACAGTCCAAAAGTTCATTGAACTCTATTTATTCATTGATAGCATTGATCACAAAGACAAACATAGACCTACTTCAAATCGCAACTAATACAAAAAGGATGTTATTGATCTTAGATATAAATAAGCGAAAATGAATGGAAGAATTAATCTTGATTTTAAGGGGATGATTTAAACAAACAGAAGCTGGAACTGATCCTTATCCATTACAAGCAAAAGCAAAATACATAGTATGGGCTATGGACGGATATTCATAGAAAGAATCAGGTAATGACCTGCTGGTAAACCATGAAAAAGAAGGCGGATACACAAGAGCCAGAATTGTACTAGCAAGGACTACATGAGGCAGAATGGAATTTGATTGCTTCAAAATATCCACTATAGAAGCCTCCTTTTGTTCAACCATCTGAAACGAGACATACAGAAGAACTACAACAAATTTTTTGCCCAAAATAGTTGATAATGTCAATGTTTATAACTAAAAAGATGAATAGGATTAACTTGGAGCAACATAGAAAAGAACATCCAATGCTTAAATACAAATCAAATATAGGATTTGGGTATCAATTATCAAACCCCCATTATAAAGTTTTGAACATTGCCTATTAAGAAGCAATTAACAATACTACATATAGCAAATAGGAAGAGATGATTACTCCTTGAACCAAAATTATTATTATCAAACTGTAAGGAAATTCAGTTTACCTAAAATTTGAACACTATTAGATTCTTTTAGTAAAAATATGAGAACCTGATTTGGTTCGGGTCCATATTCCTGACCTGGATCCCTTTCAAAGGATCCTGATAAACTCTGTGATGCACATTTGCACAACGAACATCTAGTGCCCCCAACTGCAGAAAGAAACACAAACACGCACAACAAAAATGAAAAGGAAATTCTTTTAGAACATATCCCAGAAAATAAAATGGAATAAAAAACAAGAATTGAAGGCCAAAAAGAACATAACTTACACTGAGAAATGGAATTGGTAGGTGCAGGAATATTGAAACTCTGTGGCAAAACTGGGAACTGTACTCGCTTTGGTAAATGAAAGCTATTGTTTTGCAACAGAACATGATTGAATCGTGGACGCTGGATCAAGAAATTACCAGTGGATTATTATTTTTTCAACAAGAAAATGGATTTCAGCGCTTTTCACCGGTTCTTAAAACTCTTGTGTAAAGTGGCGTACGAAAACATTAAACATCTCTGCTGGCGTGAAGCAAAAAGGAATGAACAATTAAAAAATTGTTTAATCCTTATTAAAATACTCTTAATCACAGAGATTATTTATTTTTCTAATGCTGGAAAACTTCTAATTCTTTGGTTTCATGTCTTTTTAAGTACGTGTTCGGCAAAGCTTAGCTTACCCTACTACCTTCCATTTTTTTCTGCCTGAAGGTCAACTCATAATAGCTTCCCTCGGTTAACATCAATTCTGCAAAATTATCTACCAAATAAAATTATAAAAGTGTTACATTTTTTTAAGTTTATTGGGTGATTATAATGTTTAGTCGAAAAAAAAGTAATAAGGTTGATTCAAGTTGTAAAATTGATATCATTTAAATCTTAAATTTGACATTTTGTGTATGTAAAAGTTTCTCGTTGAAAATATTATTCACCAAAATTAGGTATAAAACACAAATCTCTAATTCAATAATTTGTCATTATAATCTTATCTAGGGCCTTGTAGGAACGATGAAGAATCAACCAAAAACAATACAATCTGTGATGTTCATCAATGTTTACAAAGGAGAGTTGTAGTGGATGTTGGATTAATTAGATAAAAGAAAAAAAAAGGTTGTTTGGAGGAATTAATAGTCGGCCGTGGAGGAAGTGGGAAAAAGAGACGAGTGAAAGCGTTAGAGAAGAATTTCAAAGTTGAAAACAAATTGCAACCAACAACAAATCAAACTATATTAGTTTGACAAGAGTTTCAAAGTTGAAAATAAATTGATTTTGAAGTTCTTAATTTGTTACACTTTTTTTTTATTTTGATGATTTTCACACCATTTTTTATTCTGTATATTTATTGTTTAATTTTTTTTAAAAAAAATGAGTTTTTAGTTAATTAATTGCATCATGCATCCTCAAACTACGACCTTTATTCTAAATTAATATCTAAACTTTGAATATTCTAATTTTATCCCTAAACTATGTCTCGTTCCAAATTGATCCTCAAACTTTTGATTATTTCAAATTCATCCCCAAATTATGACCCTCATTCTAGATTGATCCCCAAGCCTTTGAACTTTCCAATAACATCTCCTAAAATCATTCAAAATTTTGGAGATGAAATTGGAATATTCAAAAGTTTAGGGGCTGATATAGAATAAAGGTCATAGTTGGGATAAATTTGGAATGTTTAAAAGTTTAGAGACCAATTTAACGTGTGAATTATAGTTTGGAGATGAAATTAAAATGAGATTATTGCACCATACATCTTGAAACTATGACCCTCATTATAGATTGGTCCCTAAACATTTGAATATTATAATTTCATCCCTAAACCATGACTCTCATTCTAAATTAATCCCCAAAATTTTGAAAATTCCAAATTCATCCACAAACTATAACCCTCATTCTAAATTGATCCCAAACTTTTGAACGTTCCAATAACCTACCCCAAAATCATTCAAAAGATAGAAGATGAAATTGAAATATTCAAAAGTTTGGGGACCAATATAAAATGAGGATCATAGATTGGGAATGAAATTGGAATTCCTAAAAGTTTAGGGACCAATTTCAAATGATGGTTATAGTTTGTGGATGAATTTGGAATGTTCAAAAGTTTGAGGATTAATTTAGAATGAGTGTCATAGTTTGAGGACTTATAATAGAATTAACTCAATTATAACATTGAAACTTTAAGAGCAATTTAAAATGAAGATCACAGTTTGAGGACGTGTAGCAATCAACTCTTAGGTTTTTTTTCAATCTTGAGATGAGATGATAAATGATATAATATAATAGTGTCTAACGCTATTACAAAAAAATGTTAATATGAAAAAAATCATGAGTACAAGTTTAAAATCCAAAGATATAATGAAGAAGAAGAAGAAAAATACAGTAAGGATGCAAATATAGAAACGCATTGAAGGAGAAAGAAGAGATGGCGCAGGGAGCTGCAGAAGTTGGTCTGGCATTCCATTAAAGCATATATTAAAGAGTGATTCATCCGAAGCACTGTCTATGCCACTTATGCATAAAAGTCTTGAATGACGTTGATATGGTCACATGGGCATGAAAAAGATGTATCCAAAGCCAAAGGCACCAAGACAAAGGTCCATGGCCATCCTAGTAAGTTCTTCATATACGTTAACCTAATCTTCACTAAATATTTTAATTAATTTTTTACTTTTTAGCTTTTCCTTCTGTACTCCTCTCATCAACTTTGATTCATTCTACTATGTTTCCTACCAAAAACCTTGTACTCGGTCAAATGCAACAAGACAACAGACTCGAGTTAAATAAAGTAATTAAAACCCATTAAAACTTGGTTGTTTTTAGCAGGAATCAGGACATTCTGAGAAAGGTAGATGCTGAAGCTTTGAAAAGTTATTAAAAATGGAGAAATCAGTGTAAAATACAGTGTAAACCCTTTTAATTTTTTCCAAGTTTTCTGCTTATAATGGAAAAAAAATATGAGGAAATGGAAATAAACTTCACATCTTCTGTAACAAAATTTAATGAAAAAGGAGTCACATTGAGAACGGATACAAGGGAACTTGAGTCTTTAATGCTGCAAAAAGGAAAGAAAAGCTCAACTCACGAGTCAACAAAAGACCAAAAAAAAACCCAAAAAGCCAAAGTCTTAAAATTCCTTGGGTTTTATTTTTTTCTTCTAAACATATTTCATTTCTCTGACAATTATTTGGGGTGAAAAGATCCGGTTGGTAATAGATAATAAATGCTTGTAATTTCAGGGACAAAACCAAGACCCCACCTTTAGACGGTTGTTAGTGATGCAAGACCATTTTGGGGATTTCAAGTTGATTACTTTTCTACAAATCAGAGTTAAAACCGAAAAAAAATTAGAGAGGGTTTAATTTTTGTAATGGAATTGAAAAGAACTGAGATTGAAGGTGGAAAGAAACGGACATGCACGTGGTTAAGCTTCTGTTGGTGGCAACCCTATAGATATAGATGTTTTTCATATATGGTTAATACTATTAAATTTGCTCCCCTGTTCTCCTTTCCAGCCAAGCCACCTTCTCATACATTTGTTCTCACTTGTTGGTCATCGCCATTTTTATTACATTTTTCTCCCATTATTCATTACTTGTCCTTTTTATTTACCTGTCTAGATTCTTGGCATGGAAGAACAAAAAAATTGAAATTTTTAGTTCAAATACAGAAAGAAAAAGGTGAGATCTTTGATTCATTGAAGAGAGTGTGGGTTAAAATGGGTTGCTCTGTTGTTGTTCTTCGTTGAGCAAATGCAAGTAAAATGTGGGTTTTTGGACACGAACCTTATGTTTTTGTCTTTGGTACTGGAGATTTTTACAAGTGCAAACCACAAGCTCTGCAATTGAATCTGATTCGATAATGCCTTACGGTTAGACACAATCTCTGTGTTGTTGCTGCTGTTTTCGAGCATGAAAAGGATCCGTGGATTTATAGTTTCCCATGCTTTGCTATTCCTGATTCTTTCTTCTTTTGGAATCAGTACCCTCTTCACCGTTTCTTTAGCCGCGACTGAAAAGGAAATCTTGCTCCAATTCAAAGGAAACATCACCGATGATCCGTACAACAGCTTGGAATCCTGGGTCCCAAATGGCAACCCTTGTGTGGATTTCAGTGGTGTGTTTTGCAATCCACAAGGATTTGTGGACAAGATTGTTCTGTGGAACACGAGCCTCAGCGGTCAACTGCCGTCTACCTTGTCTGGTTTAACCTCCCTCAGAGTCTTGACATTGTTTGGCAACAGATTTTCAGGTAATCTCCCGCAAGAATTTTCACTGCTGCAAACATTATGGAAGATCAATGTGAGCTCAAATGCATTATCTGGTTCCATACCAGATTTCATTGGTGACTTGCCTAACATTAGGTTTCTTGATTTTTCAAAGAATGCTTATACCGGAGAGATTCCGGTTGGTTTGTTTAAGAACTGCTACAAAACAAAGTATGTTTCTTTCTCGCATAACGGATTTTCGGGTTCGATTCCAGGATCCATTGTGAATTGTAGTAAGCTTGAAGGGTTTGATTTCTCGTTCAATAATCTTACCGGTGAATTGCCTTCTCGAATTTGTGATATCTCAGTATTGAAATATATATATGTTGGTAGCAATGCATTAAACGGCAGTGTGCTGGAAGAGATGTTGAAATGCCAAAGCTTAGTAGGCTTGGATCTTAGCACAAATTCATTCACAGGGTTGGCTCCTCTAGGAGTTCTTGAATTGAAGAACATTACTTACTTCAATGTTTCATGGAACGAATTCGTTGGCGAGATTCCCGTGATTGGAACCTGTAGTGGGACGTTGGAATTCATGGATGCTTCGTGGAATAGTTTGAGTGGGGAAATCCCGACAAGCGTTTTGAACTGTAAGAGCCTCAAAGTTTTGGACTTGGGGTTCAACAAGCTTAATGGGACCATACCGGTTAATATCGGGGATCTGGGAAGGCTTTTGGCAATTAGCTTGGCTAATAATTCATTAAGTGGGACAATCCCTGCAGGATTTGGAAGCATTGAGTTGCTTCAGGTCTTAGATTTGCACAACCTCAACCTCACTGGTGAAATTCCCGAGGATATAAGCAATTGCAGGTTTCTGCGAGAACTGTGAGTATAAGCGCTATCCTGATGTACTTTAGATTTTCTATGGCATGGCTTTGAGTTAATTCTAAGAAAGTTCTATCATGCTGCTGCAGGGATGTTTCTGGGAATATGCTAGAGGGACATATTCCTAATACGTTTTACAACATGTCAAATCTGGAAGTTCTTGACTTACATCGTAACCGGCTGAATGGAAATATCCCATCGAGTCTTGGGAACTTGTCAAAAATCCAATTGCTTGATCTCTCACAGAACTCACTTTCCGGGTCGATCCCCCCTTCACTTGGGAATTTGAATATGTTAACTCATTTTAATCTTTCATACAATAATCTCTCTGGTATCATTCCAAACGATCAGACCATTCAATCGTTTGGTGCATCAGCATTTTCAAACAATCCTAGGCTCTGTGGTTCCCCTTTGGCCTCCTGTTCGGGAAGTGCTACGCCTTCCACATCCAGTAGAACTGAGGTCCTTAGTGTTTCTGCAATTGTTGCCATTGTTGCTGCTGCTGTGATTCTTACAGGGGTTTGTGTGGTAACCATCATGAACATCAGGGCACGCAAGAGTAAAAAGCAGGAAGTGGCGATGGTTGTTGAGAGCACACCACCAGGTTCATCAGATTCAAATGTTGTAATTGGGAAGTTAGTTCTCTTTAGCAAAAGTTTGCCTTCTAAATATGAAGATTGGGAAGCTGGCACCAAAGCTTTGCTCGACAAAGAGTGTCTAATAGGTGGAGGGTCGATCGGAACAGTCTACAAAACTAGCTTTGAAGGAGGGATCTCAATTGCAGTAAAGAAGCTTGAGACTCTAGGGAGACTGAGAAACCAAGACGAATTTGAACAAGAAATCGGACGCCTAGGTAACCTCCAGCATCGGAACTTGGTTGCTTTTCAAGGTTATTACTGGTCCTCTTCAATGCAATTGATTTTATCTGAATTCATTCTGAACGGGAATCTCTACGATAATCTTCACGGAATGAATTATCCCAGCACTAGTTCAGGTGTTGGGAATACCGAACTAAATTGGTCTAGAAGGTTTCATATTGCCCTTGGAACTGCAAGAGCACTTTCTTATCTTCACCATGATTGTAGACCTCCAATTCTCCATCTCAACATCAAATCAACTAACATACTCTTAGACAAGAACTACGAGGTGAAACTATCTGATTATGGATTGGAAAAATTGCTTCCGATTTTGGATAATTATGGTTTAACTAAATTTCATAATGCAGTGGGATATGTCGCACCAGAGTTGGCTCAAAGTTTGAGTCTTAGTGAGAAATGTGATGTGTATAGCTTTGGAGTGGTTCTTTTAGAACTAGTAACTGGCAGGAAACCAGTAGAGAGTCCAACAGTAAACGAGGTAGTGATTTTGTGTGAATACATTAGAGGATTGTTGGAGAGGGGCTCTGCTTCAGCTTGCTTCGATAGAAGGCTGTGCGGCGTGGAAAACGAATTAATACAAGTTATGAAGTTGGGATTGATCTGTACATCAGAGGTTCCTTCAAGAAGACCTAGCATGGCTGAAGTTGTTCAAGTTCTCGAGTCCATCCGATCTGGAATCGAACCATAGTGAAAATTCAAAGAAATGTTAGATGTGATCTATACTGCAAAGGTGACACAGACAGTTGCTGCTGGTTAGGGTGAAAAAAAGGTTAATTCTTCTCTATTCATTTAGCGATTGCCACCATTGATTCGTTCCTCTATTTGTAACCTTGTGCAATAAAAGGGAAAAAAGTATCCATTTATGTGTAAGCATCTGTTCAATTCTTTAGACTCTGAAAGCAAGTTCTAAAAGTTAACATCAATGGCAGCATCAGTAACATAAACACATTTCTTCCCTGAAGATGAATATCAAGATCTTGATGGGGTTCATTTGTCCTTCGGCTTCAAGTCGAGGATTACTTTTTTCAAACTATAATGTCAAAGAAACGATCTTTCGATAAAAAAAAAACAAATCTGCACATTATTTAAAATCATAGAATAAAATAACAGCATTTCATCTATTCAATTTAAAGGTTTCAGAAACTTTCTGAATCCGATCCATGACTATAGGGATATCTTTCTCTGTCAATGTAGTAAAACAGAAGCGGAACCATCCAGGTTCGATACAATGACATGAAGAACCTGGAGTTACATTGATCTTACCTATATTCAACAACTTATACCACAGCTCAAGTTCGCCTTTCTCGTTGTAAGAGTGGATTAACCCGCTCATATCGGCCCAACAGTAGAAACCTCCACTACTCTTTATGCACTCGATGCCCAGGTTTTTTAACCCAGTCACAAACTGAGCATAATTGTTTGAAGCCTCTCCCTGTTGATGGTAATTAATGTTTGAACAAATTTTGCATCAGATAGCATAGAGATGAGCAAACACTGGGTTGGGACCGAAATAGATGAGAACCTCGCCAACTTTTTAGCAGCAGCCAAAAGCTCCTCATTATATGAGTAGATAACACCAACCCGAAAACCTGGAAGAGAAAGGTCTTTCGACAAACCATACACTATATGAACTCTATTCCGACCAAGCTCATCCAGGTCAAGGAGTTTTGCCATGCTAAAAAATTCTTCATTTCCGTGAGTAGAACCAGCCAATAGTTCGTTAGAGACAATATGGATGTTTTTCTCTCTGGCAAAATCTAGCAGGCTGTATAGTGTTTCTCGACTTAGAAGATTGCCAACAGGGTTTGATATTACTATCCCCCGCACTTTAAGTCCGCGTTGCTTTGCCTGGTCAAATGCTCGATCAAGAGCAGCTATACTTAAATTGAAATTGTCAGCGCTTCGGCAAGGAACATGTATTATTTCCACCCCAGCTCGCCATTTTATATCCCTATCAAAACTGCAGATTTTGTTCGAAACATTATTTTCCTTGTGAGATAGCTGCTTACAGGAATGAAAACCGTCAAAATGGAGAGAAATATTACCCGGGGTAATAAGGAGTTGGAACAAGAAATGCATTTCCAGCATCTGCTAAGCAGAAACTAAGGATCTCAATTGCAGGGGTTGCACCAGCCGTCAGCACTACCTGTGAAGGGTTGAATGAAACAGCTTTCTCCATGACTTGAGACATGAATCCTGCTACAGCCTGTAAAGTAATTACAATTCAGAACAAAAGCTTTTAAAGTAGACACTGTTTATTGACAAAAACAAAATGTTTCCAGAAAGAACCATTAGACGAGGCGGACTTCCAAGGTATTGACTCTTGAAGTTATGCTTTTTAATTTTAAAGTTTTACAAACAATTTATACTGGTCAAGGTTTTCTTCCAGCATACCATATCACCTGAAAATTCTAAATACCCCTTGAAAACATGTGCTCAAGACTTGTCACTAATTGTAAATAAATTTCTCCCTTCTCTTTTGTATTCCTTTTCTTTCTCCAAATGAAAAGAGGTCACTTTATGATCACAGACATACATTTATTCAATTAGATTTTCAAATTTCATCAAAGCCTACACGGCAAGTAATCAAAGTATGCTATATATAAATGGTGAGAAAGCACTTATCTTAAGAGGTGAATTGAACTGGAAATTACAAGGCCTCATTGCACGTTACATGCTTTAAAGATGGTTCTTGTATATACATACCAACAATACATATATCACTGAATAAGAATCAAAAGCCGAATACGTCAGATTTATTGTTTTCTATCCCTCTTCTATTGCACATACAACACTTAACCAGAAGTCGTCTCCAAGCTCAATAAGAAACAAACTTGGCCCACTTAGTGTTAGCCGCCTGGAATTTACAACCTACTCAGCCTCCAATAGTGGAATTCATAGATTTGGTGTTTGCAACCTCAATCTCATATGATTCGTAGTATTACAAGCATTATACTCGACTAAAATTTTGGAACCTCCACTTTTAACAGATAGCATAAACCCTTAACTGTAGTTATAACTTATAAGCAAGCAGTCCCTATAGCTCTAACTGTATCATTACACGTTACTTAACCAATCTGAATCTTCAAAAATCCTAACATGACATCTTAAAGTCACCTAAAATGCTAAGAGTGAAGTGTAATATTTTCGCTCGATACAACTTCGAACAATAAAAAGTAAAATTCAAACCTAAAAGGAGAACCAACTCAATAAACTGATAGTCTGATATTGAATAGAATGATAGCATTAACCTGAAGTACAAACGAAAACATATAAATTGAACAATGTTTACCACTTTGAACTCCATCAATCCATCAAAAGGCTGATAAGTGGCAATCTTGCTAATGCTTAGCTCTCCCCCGTTTCTCAATATGGATTGCTCCACATTCTCTGCTAGCCAATGCCTAATCAAATCCAATGACAACTGGAAAAAAGAGAGCAAATACTACCTTATAATCACTCAAGAATATTAAAAAAAAATGTAAAAAGAACCTACCTTGTTCTCTGCTAAACCCAGCTGGATGACCCCATTTGGATTACTGAGTTCATCATACGGATCCTCCTTAGCCCGCCTCAATCCCACATAATACGGAGAATCCGCACCCTTCACAATCCCATTAACCCGACCCGAAAGAGAGACTGGTCCACGCTGACTTCGCGGCGATGACAAACCCCAAGACAAATTACGTGTCAACCCGGGAAGCTCCGATAACTTCCCGAACGACGGCGAACGGGAGGTTGGGTTTTGAGCCGAGGAATTCGAATTGTTCTGGTCATCATTGTCTTTACGGTGTCGCTTCAGATAGAACTGGAGAAAGTAAAAGAGCGCGCAAGGGATTATGGAGCCTAAAACTAAGCCTCCTCGTCCTTGAACAACACCTTGCAGAGGAACTATCACTCTCATGGCTATTTCCTTTGGGTTTCGGGGCTCCGAGTCCGGGAATAAAGGGTTTGTGTCATAGTAATGAAGTCATGGCCACAAAAGGAAAAGGGGAGAATCGAAAATCATGGTTTTACTGAGTGTTACGATGAATCATGAATGGATGAATAAAAATAATAGCTTTGTGGTGTTTTGTGAGGTTTTGTACGGAATTATGGGATGCACAGCCAGTCCTCGCTAGAAGAGGGGGATTTAGCAGTTGTGATTTTTAGGAGGGAAATGCTGTTAGTTTAGTGGTCATATTTTCTCCCATGATGAACAATGGAATCATTAGAGGAGAAGAATTAATATATACAATAATTTTGATGGATTATAATATAATATTTATTTAAAAAATTAATTATTGATAATAAATCATTGACTGATTATTCGAATGTAAATTTTTTATAAAAAATAATATTCATTTTTTTCATGAAAATTACTTAATATTTTTTATATTTGAATGAAGTTCAAAAATCATTATTATTGTTGTTGTTGTGGAATCTCTTCCACAACCACAAGCTGCAGAAAACAAATTCACCAAATATCCCAACATTTTTTTTTTCAAATTTCCCTATGAAAATATATTGTCTAGTCATTTTCCAACCCTTTTGGCTAGGGCCATTGTCCACTTCATTTATTCGAGCCACAGGTTTGAGGTTTCATCAACTATTAGATGTTTTCGTAAACCCTAAAAATGAATGAATGAATGAATTATCATCAAAAGGGCATATGTACTAATAGAAAAACATGCAATCGAAGTACAAATGAAGCAAATCTGTAAGCCAAATAGGCCGCTCACTCCATTAGTCCCCTCAAATTGAATCAAGTAAAAAAGAATTGAGTAAGTGAAATTTATACATATTATTTTATTATTTAAATTTTATTTGAATCTAATTAAATCAAATATATTTATTCGAGTTTTTATTCAAATTTAGTTATATATATTATGAAGGGTTTGTGGAGTTCTATCTTTTTTTTCTTTAAGATTTGTGTCGCTCTCTATAGATCTGATCAACTTTTTCTTCTTTAACTTTGTTTAGCCGACAACGACACCAATTTTGATGTTAGTTGTCAACTGTTAGTTTTTTTTTTCTCTATTTTTTTATTTTTTAATAAAAATAAATATGCCTTTGTGACCTACTTTTCTTTCTATGGCACGTTTTTTGTCTTCTTTCTCAATCAATTGGTCGTTTTTTTATTTTATGTTTTCGTAAGGTTGGATTTGACGACACTACGATTGATTAAGTTAGCGCTTATTTGTAATCATGTTGATCTTCCCTACTTTAGGCCCTATATTGAATTTGGATATGTAATTTTGCGTTCGTGGATAGTTTCTCACGACGATTGGCTCTGATTTACGATTCTCAGTGATCTTTTAATAGCTTAATCCCCTTTTATGATTCGTTTGTTGATGCAGTCATTTTTGTTCGTATCTATTTTTCGTTCAAGTCTTTTGGGATTTTTAACATTTTTCATGTATGGTCCTTCTATTATCTAAAGTGGTTAGTTTCTTCTGTCAATGTTATAGGAAAATGTATAAATTACATATTTAGTTTACGATGATAATTGTAAACTCTTATTGTAATTTTAGATATTTTTTGTTTTCAAATAAGAGTAACAGCTTCTATTCAAAAGAAATTATATATATTATGATATTGATTAGTTCTAATTTAAAAGATTCTCTAATCATATTTCAAATACATATATATTTTTTCATACTCTTTTTTATACGTGTAAATAAAATTTATAATATTATTTAATAAATTAAATATTATCTAAAAGTATATAATATATTTATAATGTTATTTAACAATGAATTTTAAGGATAAAATATTAGTGAATGTATAAAAGAATCAAATAATTGACGAAAATAAATAATTTAAAAAATTTAAGAGTAACAAATTTTTAAAAAAAAAGTAAATTGAGGGAATAAATTAAAAAAAAGAAATTTATTATTAAAAAGCAAGGGTAACATACATAAATGGTCTTCTAACTTCAGGGTATATTTTTTAGTGTTCTGACTAATTAAAATTATAAAATAGTTAATTTGTTGAGTCTCTCGACTATTAAAAGTTACAAAATGTTCACTCGACTATTTATATGTTCCAAACTCGTTCTTTTTCGTTAAAAAAATAACGGTTATTGAGTTGAATGTTAACATATTGACTGTGATATAATAAAAATATATTTTAATAATAACAATTAGTATTGTTGTTAAACACTGATTTAACGATATAGTGTAAACAAAAACTACATTCCATGCTAATGAGAATGGTGATCATGGTTTTAACATTACAAAAAGAAATGTCAAATCAAAAGAAGGTTTGAATTGAAGTGAGATGTGAGATAGTAGTTGGAAAGTTTGTCCTATTTTGGTGTATGTTTGGGGAAATACAGAAAAGAATCCAATGTGACAACACACTACACCAACTGTGAATGCTAAATTATTTACATTTCAATTGTCCTAAAATGACAATTGTACTAACGCATTCATTGCATCTCAATTTCCTTCATTATACTTGCAATAATAATCATATAATTGAATTCCATTTTTCAAAATTTATTTTGTTCAACTACCATTCAAACCCATACTTCATTTGTATTAATTTTTTCAACTACAAGCATTAATAAAATATAAATAAAAAATAAGATTAAGGGAAGTAATAACACGAATTTAAAATTATATAAATGTCATGGGTAAAGCTTATAACAAGCCAATGACTTGCATCCTCATAAAATCTCAAAATTGATTCACATCTCTTACATAGAAGATGTTGAGCTTTTCTTAAAGCTTTGGAGTTGGAGATCAATAATTCTGTCCTTTTTTTTATCTCAAATTGCTAATCTAGATGATGAAAATGAATCATTTAAGGTCTAAAGTTAGATTTTGATTTGGATGAATTTGAAGGATAAGAGAAGAGATAAAAAGACGAGTGGTACACACTCTCCTAAATGGTACTTACAAATAATTCTTACAATGATTATATGTTTGCAATTATAAACTCACTCAAATAACACTTCAACAATTTTAACAATGATATCTCACAAGTATTTAACAATAAAGAATATGACAATCTATCACACTACAACTTTTTTTATTGATGTTTTTTTGTCAATAATGTTCCTAGTTTTTTTATATGTCTTGAGCTTATTTTTAATCTTCTATATGATAACTAGATGTTAAGAGTCGTTAAGGATGTAACATAGTCAATTTTTGTGTGAAAATGTCGATCTTTTTTCAAAATTTTGATTGTTGGCAGTCAGGGGATCAATTATTTGAGGTAAGAGATTGATCCTTTTTGTTGTTCCCATGAAAGAGATCTTTTTGTAAATGTATTGATCCCTTGGCTACTGAAATCAAAAGGATCGATCCTTTTAGCCACAAATCTTTAAAAATTTAATTTTAAAGTGTAAAAATGATTAACTGATTTTAAAAAAAAATTGACTTTAAAGTGTAAAAATGATTAACTGATTTTAATTTTTTTTGACTAAGTATAGATCATTTAAAACAAGATTTTGAAGTTTGTTTGTACTTTGAATTATATTTAAAATATTTAATTAAGTCCAAAAAATTATAAATATTTATTATATCAAAATATAATAATTCAAACTTCAACAATCTTCTTTTTTGATAAAATAAAATCTTTGAAAAATTTTATTTTTGTTTTTTTATGAATGCTCTACCTTATATAAATATTATCTTGAAACATAAATTTATTAAAAAAAATTGAGCTCTTTTTTTCTTATAACAAATTAAATTTTCACTTACCTTTTTTGGTATATAAAAAATAATTTGAACATTATTAATACAATATAATAATTAATTAATTAATTAAAAATAAAGATAAATTAGAGAAAATAACGTTAACCATCAAATAGTTCAATAAGAACGTTCAAAGTACCAACAACAATAAACAATAAACAATCTCATGGCCATCACTTTGAGCCTCATCCACAAGTGATAGGTTCATCTTTATTGTGATTCGGCTAAATCAAAGGCTCAATATCAGACTCATCGAAAGTATTGACATCAAGAAGATCAAATATGTGATTAAGGTACATGTCGTATCCATATACAAAAATCAAATAAGATTTAGAACTGCATATACTTACCAAATCAATGAAGATGAAGTTGACCAAGCGGAACTTATGATATATTTTAATATAATATATCCATCAATAGCTGATCTTCACAAATAATAAAATATTTAATACAATTAGATCAAAAGAAATGAGAAAATATTAAATAAAGAAGTCTATCGTAAAGTTTAAAGTGAATGAGTTGATTTTTATAAAATATAGAAAATTAACTATATCGATAATATCCAAATCAAATATATGATCTAACATCGACCGACATTTTATTAGAAACTGCAGCCTTGGTCGAATCTAATATTAAACTATACTTATAACTTCAAAAAGAATAGATTTAAAGAATTTACATAGCTTTGGATATCATCTCTAACCTTCCAAACTTTGGACCTCCAGATTAATTCGTATCCGAGGTGCCCCACTTCCAATCCTGACAAACGAATAAAACCGTTAGGGGTAATCTCGCAATTATCATCAAACCTCAATGGCAAATTCTACCCGCGCCGAAATTTCAGTCCTGACGACAGGATCTCGCCACCCGAACCGCTGTGCTCGAACCCCGATAGCACTGCTTCTCGCTTCAAAGACAAAATATATTCAAATGTACTTCACTCTTTTACCCTCTCCAATATAACGTTCCACCCTCAAATTTTCTATAGAAATTAGGGATAATTTCGTCAAAGTTTAATATACAGCCTTATACTTATTTAGTTGTTTTTAATAAATTTCTGAATCCCATAATTTCAAATTTCGGATCGTTACAATACCGCGGCGCTAAAAAAATAAGAAAATAAAAGAAATCGCAGTCCAGAGTCTGGCTTCGCTAGCTTGTACCTTACGCTATGGATGTTGTCCTTTGTTCTTCTTTTTTATTTTTCCCGTAAAAATACTGTGCTTTGAATGCTACAGTGAAGTTGTCTCAACAATAGTCGTCGCCGTTATCGATTAAAACTCGCGGCTTCCGAGGTTCCTAGGGCTTCTAAGTGAAAATTAGTTTCAAATTTCCGGAGGAAATGGCGGCGGAGTTTAGTTCTGTTTAGTTCAGGTGAAGTTAGAGCGGGCACTGTGGACTGAGAAAGAGGGAGTGAGTTTTGGTAAAAAGAGATGGAAGAAGATATGGAGGTGGAGATAGAGCCAGCATTCGAGGTGAGAGAGATCGATCTTGATTACGAGTTTGATGCGGCTCGGTTCTTTGATTTCACGCGCGAGGAGTCTCCGGGAGAGGCCGGAGAAGCTGAACTTTGGTTCGACTCGGCGCCGACTCATCCTCCTTCTCGTCAGTTTCTCTTTCGCTTAATAATATTTGCTCGAAGCATTTAATATTATCCATTATTTTAGTTATTTTTTTATTATCTTTTCTTCTTGTTTGATTAAAGAAAATATGCTGTTGATATATTCAACTTTCTTTCTTAAAAATTGAGGTATGATATCAGTGATCGACATTTATTTACTTTTTTTTAAGCTTTTATGACAAGGTTAGTAATAAGAGAGGAAAGTCTCCTGGAAAATGTGACTACGTCTCCAAAATGTGATGAAGAAGATACTAATACACTACATCAAAGTGATTCCAAAAATGTAATTGCCTTGGAATTTTCAGCTGTGAGTGCCATTAGCAAAGGTACAGTTGGTATTGTTTGGTTCTTTTATGTCTTTGAGCAGGCTTTTTATTTAAATTTTAGAGCCAATACTATAGTTTAGCTGATATTAAAGAGCCGTGGAACTTGGTTTGCAAAAGACAGCTTTTGAGGCAATTATATGAGGGTTGTGTTCAAGTGTTGTCTGTTTTAGAGTTACTGGTTAAATCATTTGATAAAGGGGGGTAGATCACTAAGAAAATGGATAAGAAAGGGGTGTTTTTCTTTTGAAAACCTGAAAACTGTGGTGGATTGATCCTACCTTTTCTTTTCAGGAAATGAAGGAGCTAACAGAGGGATCTCCACCAATATACAGAAAATTTTACGAAATGCTCTGAATCAGTCATTTCAATTAACTACAGGTTACCAAGACACTTTTGCAAAGTAGTCTTCAGTTTTCTTTTTTGCCTCTCTTTTTCAGTGATGTTGCTTTCTCATTGTTATCGCTTTTGCCTTCTCTCAAGTATTATAATTCCCTTTTATCATTAATCCCAACATTGGTCCTATATTTTTGCACACTTCATTTTTCTGTTCCCTTCCCCAGGCTTGACAACTTACAATCACTTACCCAGTGATAAGTTAAAAGCTAAATCTAAGAGTGCAAAACCCATGCCAAGGAGCTCAACTCTTATGAAACCTACTGCTAGCCAGTTAGCCAAACAAAATCGCCTCCCTCAAGTTGCTACATCCAGGTAAGTCACCGAAATGCTGAACCAGTTTTTTTTTCCTTTCTAATTTTTCTAGTCTCACAATCCAGGTATCCTACATCTTGGAAATGGTTGCTTTCAGTGTCATATTACTTGTAATGTAAAGGCATCCTAGTGTTTATAAGTGGATTTGTTTGTGTGAAAGCTTCTATAATAAATATATGTCTCATGGTGGTGACTAATATCCTATTTAACAACATTACACCCTTAAAAATTAAATTCATTGTATTGGTTTTCGATTGTAGATTTCAGAAGCAACAGGTGCTAAACATTAACAGAAGCCTAGGTAATTCTTTAGTGGTGGAAATCCAAGCTGCCAAGAGGCAGAAGCTGGAGGGAGGTCTCTTGCGTAAGGTACATGAGTTTGTGAAATTTCTCATGGAAAATTTTGTTGGTTTTTAAATCATGGTAAAAAAATGGTTTTATATTGTTAAAGAACATTACCTTTTAATGTTCTCAAATCGACAACTGAATGTTATCATAAAATTCTCTTATGGGTTGTGTTTTTCATAAATGAAGTAACATACCTATTAAAACTGAGAATAAAGGAAAACTAGAGTCACACAGATCAGTTTGGCATCTGGCTTCACTTTTCTCACATTAGATTTCTGACTTTGCTATTCGGAATTTTTTATCATTAATCTCTATTACTACTATGGTTCAGTTACATGTTCATTGAATAAACTTCTGATTTGGGCTAACTTGTTCTGTTTGGCAGGTTGATGATGTGAAGCAGCAATCCACTTTGGTCCACAAGGCACCTAAAAAAGTATACCCCTGAGTTTTGTTAGTTTTTGGGGGTCCAATTGGATCTTAACCTGTGTTGCATCTGAGACATTCTGAGCTTTTCTTTGTGGTTAAGCAGGAAGGTACTAAACATAGAAATGCCGCCAATACCAAGCTGAAGCTTACCATTCCAAGGGAACCTGAGCTTGAAACAGCACACAGGGCTCAACGATTATGGTTAGTTCGAGTTACTATCTTTTACATATATTGAGGCATAAAGTAGGAGTGTCCTTATCATGCTGCTGGTGCAATGTTGTCTTCATTTCAGGCCTAAGAATAGTACAGAGGAAGAGCTTGTTACATCTGTCACACATAGATTCAAAGCACGCCCATTGAATAGAAAAGTTGGTACTTGTGATGTTAGAAAAGGGACTTCCTCCGAAGCTGATTTTATTGTACTTCTCTCCTTACAAATATATGTTCTCGATTTGCAGATTCTCGAGGGTCCTTCATTGCCTGTTCCAAAAAAGAGTGTTCCAAAGTTGCCAGAGTTTCAAGTAAGCAATAAACTGCAGTTTCTTGCTTGTTCCTGAATTAATGGCATTTTGTGGAAGCATCAAAAGCAATGTTTTTTTTAGCAAAATGAGGATTCTTTCCTCCATGTGTAGCTCAGATTGCTTTCTCATTTCTCCTCAGGAATTTCACCTGAAGACATTGGAAAGGGCAGTGCAACACTCATCAGCTGTATCCTCCTCCTCAATCCATACAAATGCTGCTAAGGTAACAACTGATAGTTTTATTTATCTTACTTTAAGTTTTTTCATATCTGGATTCTGGATATCTGGAAAACTTATGTTGTTGCAGGGGTTTGAGAACCCTTGTACAATTTCTGCTAATGGCAATGGAACTAGCGAAGCCAGAAGGTAAATGCTTTAAAATTTAATTATCTAGAGATTGTTTTTATGCAGAATATATGATATAGTTATCTATCATACATATATGCGTGTGCTAATTCTTTTGTAAATCTTAATTTTCGTTTTGTATTGAATATGATAAAGGTGTGACTTCGGATTTTTTTCCTCTTTTTTTTTTCCCTCTTAGACCAAGTGTCATGGATGCCACTGGTCAGGATATTTGTGACACAAAGTACAACTTCAAAGCTCGTCCTTTAAACAGGAAGGTAAAGAAAGAATAAATTGCATCAATGTATTGTTTGTTTAAAAGCTTGAGCTAGGTATCATTGTTTCGTATCTAAAGAGAATGTAAATCCTTCTGCAGGTATTTTCCAGTAAGGGTAATATTGGTGTTTTTCAAAATATCAAGAGGGAAACCACAGTGCCGATGGTATGGCATGGAAGCTTTTTCCTCTTTTTATACATACTAAATGTTTTCTGAATTGTTTGAGATGATATTGTGCTTTTTCTACCATACAGGAATTTAATTTCCAAAATGAAAAGAGGGTTCCGAAAAATCCACCGGTCGAACTTTTTAGCAAGGTAAACCTTAATATGCACATTCGTTGTTTGATTGCTTGGCATTTTTTAAATTTATTCCTTATTTGTCTGCCAGCTATCTCTTACATCTGAGATACAGCCAAGCAATGGATCTCAGATGAAGTCTCCTCGGCCTACCTTTATATCTAGAAAGGTTATCCCTGGCATTATAACTCTATTTTCTGTTCATGCACTTGTAAAACTTGTGATTTTTCTGTGTTATTCATATGATTGTTCTTTGATATAAGGGCTCAAAAGAAAATAGATTCACTTCTTTCCGACCAGAACATGCAGTGAGTTTTCATAGTTTCAGTACAGAAGTTTGTTTAACATCATTTTTGGTACATTGAGGTCGTCAACATAATAATCTCTTTCTTCTTCCCTTAATAATTGTAGATTTTCAAGGATGAATAACTCTACACAGAGATTATGCAGGAGATCGGGCATGTTCGCTGATGGTTTGCGACGACATCCAACTTAATATGCTGCTGTTGCTTCTGAATTTTGACGGATCAACACTTCGACAAGTGCCATAGATCGACATACATTCTTTTTCTTGTCACTGGAAATCAATCTTTACATCTTAAAGGAACTGGCATGTTAGATGTACTTTTGTGCGCTCCCTCTGCTTCTGGCTCACACAATTCACAAAGTGCATAATAATACTGCCCAAAAAGGGGAAAAATTGTTAACACATATTGTACAGCCCGAACATGTTATATTTACTTTCTTACACCTCAAGACTCGTTTTTTTGGCAGGGCCAAAACAAATGTTAATGGCCCTTAATTTATCTATAGTATTCAAGTCACCTCCAATCCTTTGTTAGAACAAAATCATAATGCATATGAAATTAAAATTCAAGATTTAATCATATTAAATTATCGAAAATAAAATACTAGATTTATGGAAATGTACTTGATTTTTTAAGATAAATTTCTCTTGAATATAAATTTTATGACGGAATAAGAGAAATACAAATTGATTTATTTTTTGGGATCATTACCTCCTTTTATGGCAAATTATCAAAATAAGTTATTATATGTATTTATAACTTTGCTCATTATCAAATTATAAATACAACTTAAATAATATTTATACTTTTATTTTTATGATATTTCTAACTTTCGATATATATAACGTAATTGATCATTTAATTTTATGTCATATTTTATATTAATTGTTGATAAATCGGGCAAAGTAAACGAAAGAACACAAGAATTTTAACGAGGTTCGACAATGTGCTTACGTCTTCGGTGTCTAGACTGCGCTAGAAATTTTTTTATTCAATTCTCATAGGTTTAGGTTACATCTCTATTTATAATAGAAAATCCTGGTACATAATTACAAAATTAACCCTGTCCTCTTTACCGGTATATTTATGAGACACACCTTACAAATCTCCACCTTGGCGAATATCCTGCCCCTTAGGAAACATTCAATGTGGGTTGGGTTACCTTAGTTCTTTAACAACTTGAAACATTCAACAAGTCCAAGCAATGCTTGAACTTGTCTGTCGTAACTGGCTTGGTGAACATATCAGCGGCATTCTCATCAGTGTGTACCTTATGAAACAAAATCTCTTCAGATGCAACCAACTCTTTGATCTTGTGAAAACGTACATCAATGTGCTTAGTTCTAGCACGATATACCTGATTCTTAGCTAAGTGAATAGCACTTTGATTGTCGCAAAGCAGCTGAACTCCACCTTGCTGAACACCCAACTCCTTCACTAAACCAGTGAGCCATAAAGCTTCTTTTACAGCTTCAGCCGCTGCCATGTACTCAGCTTCAGTTGTAGATAGTGCCACTACAGATTGAACAGTAGACTTCCAATAAATAGGTCCTCCACCAAGAGTAAAAACATACCCTGTCGTAGATCTTCTATTATCCAAGTCACCTGCATAGTCTGAATCCACATATCCTACAACCAAAGGATTATCTCGTTGACTACCAAAAACAATTCCATGTCCCACAGTACCCTTTAAGTATCGAAAGATCCACTTGACTGCTTCCCAATGTAGCTTACCAGGTTTAGACATGTACTTACAAACTTGACTAATAGCATGAGCTAAATCAGGACGAGTACATACCATTGCATACATCAAGCAGCCAACAACATTAGAATACGAAACCTTTGCCATATCTTCAGCTTCCTTATCTGTCTTATGGCACTGTTCTGATGAGAGCTTAAAGTGGTTCGCCAATGGAGTGCTAACTGGTTTTGCGCTGCTCATTTCAAACCTTTCTAGCATTTTTTCAACATAACCCCGTTGAGATAGCCACAGTCTCCTTGAGTCTCTGTCCCTGCAAATTTTCATTCCAAGAATTTTCTTTGCAGTACCTAAATCTTTCATATCAAATTCCTGACTCAATAAAGTTTTCAAACCGATAACATCATCCATGTTCTTCGCAGCAATCAACATATCATCAACATACAGTAATAGAAAAAATAAAAGAACCATCATCAAGGCTCTTAACATAGACACAACAATCATACTCACATCGGTTGTAGCCAATCTTGATCATATAGGAGTCAAACCGTTTATACCACTATCTCGGAGACTGTTTCAACCCGTACAAAGATTTCTTCAATCTGCAAACTAAATGCTCGTTTCTAGGTTGAGTGAAACCTTCAGGTTGCCGCATGTAGATCTGCTCCTCTAAATCACCATGCAAAAAAGTTGTTTTAACATCCATCTGCTCTAAATGCAAATCCCAACTGGCCACCAATGCAAGTACTGCTCGGATTGAAGTGTGCCTGACCACAGGAGAAAAAAATTTCATCATAATCAACTCCTTTCTGCTGTGAAAAACCCTTTGCTACCAAACGAGCCTTGAACTTGAACTTCTCCCCCTCTTTTTTTGTTACTGCTGGTTTCTTCTTATACACCCATTTGTAACCAATCGGCTTTTTACCCTCAGGAAGGCGAACCAACTCCCATGTACGATTGTGATTCAAAGACTCCATCTCCTCAACCATGGCTGCCATCCACTTGTCGTTTTCCTGACTAGTAACAGCATCATGAAAATTAACCGGATCATCACTGCTAACAATAAGTGCAAAAGAGACCAAGTCTTCAAAACCCAATCTACTCGGAGGCTTTATATTCGTCCGTCACACTCTATCTCTGGCGAGACTATAATAATGCAAATCATCCGTAGTGGAACCACCAGAAGTCGGTTGAGAAGTTTCTGGTTTCTCAACTGGAAACTGCTCGAAATCCACCACTGTCGTGTCTTTCTTCTGTTGCAACATGGATTGTTCATCAAAAACAACATCTCTACTGATCACAATTTTCTTCGCAATTGGATCCCAGAACTTGAATCCTTTGACACCTTTCTTGTAACCCAGAAAAATGCACTCCTTCGATTTTGCATCAAGTTTGGATCTCTCATCAGCAGGTACATGCACATAAGCAGGACAACAAAAAATCTGTAAGTTATCAAAACTAACATCATGACCAATCCATACCTCTTCTGCAACTTTCCCAGCCAATGATGCCCTTGGCGATCTGTTGATAAGATAACACGCCATGTTAACAGCCTCGACCCAGAAGTGTTTGGGAAGCCCCTCATTCAACCGCAAACATCTGGCTCTTTCATTCAACGACTTGTTCATCCGTTCCGCAACACCATTATGTTTTGGTGTCTTGCGCACTGTAAAATGTCTCTTAATCCCGTGCTCCATACAGAAGTGTAAGAACTGTGAATCTGTGTACTCCGTACCATTTTCAGACCGCAAACACTTGATTTTTAGTCCTGTTTGGTTTTCTACCTCAGCTTTCCACAGCTTGAACTTCTCAAAAACTTCAGATTTCTGTTTCAAAAAATACACCCAAACTTTCCGTGAAAAATCATCAATAAAAGTAACATAATACCTAGATCCACCCAAAGACAATGTCGTGGAAGGCCCCCATACATCAGAATGCACATAATAAAGAATCCCTTGAGTTGTGTGCCTCGCAGTCTTGAAACGGACTTTAGTCTGTTTACCAAGAACACAATACTTGCAAAAATCGAGCTTACAGCTTTTGACACCATGCAACATATTTCTTTTGTGTAATTCTGTCATACCACGTTCACTAAGATGAACAAGATGCACATGCCACAGTTTTGTAGTATCATCACAGGACTCAACAGAATAAACTCCACTTGCAATGGTACTCCCTAACAATCTATAAATATTTCCTGCAGTCATCTTTTCTTTCATCACAGTCAAAGCACCTTTAACAATCCGAATGGTTTCCCTATCCTCATCAGCCTTAGGGATAAAACCATTCTTGTGCAAAGTGCCCAAAGAAATCAAATTCTTCTTCAAATCTGGGATATGTTGAACACCACTCAACGTCCGAACAGAGCCATCATACATCTTAATTCTGACATCACTAATACCAACAATATTGCAACATCGATCATCACCCAAATAAACAGAACCAGAATTAACCGACCTGTATGTCGAAAACCATTCCCTATTTGGCGTGATGTGATAAGAACATCCAGAATCAAGAATCCACGCATCCGTCAATTGAGTCGTTGAAATAGAAAGCATATCACCCTCATTGCAATCAGAATTGCCATCCTCGACCACGTTCACAGACTTGGATGAAACATCACGCTTCTAATCAGTCTGCTTTTTCAACTTCGGACAGTCTTGCTTCATATGTCCTGCCTCCTTGCACTTGTAACAGTGAATTGTCTTCTTATCCCTAGATTTGGATCTGGAATTCCGCTTGCCAGACCTTGCCTTCTCTGGCTTCCGTCCACGGTCTCGATTACCCTTGACATATAAGCTATCGGCTTGAGAGTTTTCCCCTGCATTCTGCTTCCGCTGGTTGTGAGCCAACAAGGCTGCAGTAATCTCCTCAACGTTGATAGTCTCTTTCCCATATGTAAGAGTAGTCACCATGTGTTCGTAAGAGGGAGGCAACGAACACAACAAAATCATCGCTCTGTCTTTATCCTCAATTTTTACATCAAGCCGAGCCAAATCAGAAACGATTGGATTGAAGACATTCACGTGTTGCGCCAAATCATGATCGTCTTGCATCTTCAGCCCATACAACCGCTGCTTTAGATACAGTTTTGTCGTTAAGGATTTGGACATAAACTGACTTTCCAACTTCCTCCAAATTTTGTCTGGAGATGATAGATGCATGACGTGATATATAACCTCGTCCGCCAAGCATAATCGTATGGTTCCTGCCACTCATTGTTGCAATTCTTCCCAATCTTCCTCCTCCATCGACGCCGGCTTTGTAGGTCGCAAAGCCTTCAGGATCCCCTGCTGCGCCAACAGATCCTTCACCCTCGTTTGCCATAATCCGAAGTTACCCAGACCATCGAATTTCGCGACTTCGAATTTTGCTCCTGATATCTGATACCAATTGTTGATAAATCGGGCAAAGTAAACGAAAGAACACAAGAATTTTAACGAGGTTCGACAATGTGCTTACGTCATCGGTGCCTAGGCGGAGCTAGAAAATTTTTTATTCAATTCTCATAGGTTTAGGTCACATCTCTACTTATAATAGAAAACCCTGGTACATAATTACAAAATTAACCCTGTACCGTACCGCGGGGACGCAGCCCCCGCACCCCCAACCCACATAATCGTAACCCCCTCTACGAGACTTTCTTTGTAAGGACAGTTGATGTTTGCTGCGTTTGCTCACTCTGCTCCATCCCCTGTCCTCTTTACCGATATATTTATGAGTCATACCTTACATTAATATTATACCTTATAATTTATAAATATGTGCTCATGATTAAATATTTTAATCTAATATCCTCAGCTTCTATGTTACTTTATGTTGTATTCTTTAGTATAAAATGCATTCAAAGTAGTCGTGTTTTTTTATAGCAATGGGTTGTAATTACTGGAATAATATCTACATGCGATAGTAGTGGATCTATAAATTTAAAAATAATCTTAATATTTTCTTTTTACAATGTGTTTGTAATTTTTTTTTAATTTCTCTAAACATAAAATTAAATTTAACAGTTTTTATTAAAATAATGTATATGACTTTATTTTATTTATTTTTACAAGATAGTTGTCGTTAATTTAATTAAATTTAAAAATATTTAAATTATAATGAAGGTTTATAATCATGACTGTAAACTAAACACATAATAAGGAATATTTTCCTATAATAATTAACATAAGAAGCTAGCCACTTATCATACAATAACCATACAAAGACAAGGTTAAAAAGCCTAACCAAATAAACTCAAATAAAAGTAGATGCGAACAAATTTGATTGCATCAACAAACGAACCAAAAAAGATCAAATATTAAAAGACGACGAACAAATCAAAAATTAAAACCGAACGATATGAGAAAATTATCCACGAATACAAACGAGTATTACTTCATATATTTGAGCATGATATTTGAAAAAATATAAAAATTGGAAATAAATATTAAACCCTCAAGACAATATTGCATTCTTAAATTTAAAATGTGCGTCTTCACAAAATTGCATTTTTTGCTAAAAAAATATCGCTTGCCGTGAGAATCAAACTCATGATAAAAGAATAAATGAGACAATACTTAACTAACCAAATTACATGACAATATCAAAATGAAAAGCAAAATTTAACTAAAATGCTGTTTAAAATTATCAAATAGCCGAGTAAAATGAGCTAAATGGCAATTACTGTATGTAAAAAGGTTGAGAAATTACATAATTGATAAATACATAAACGATAAAAAAAATGTGTTCCATCAATTTACATGTTCTTCAGTTGTTTATTGCTCACAAGCATAGCAGGCCAACCTCATACTTTCTCTTTGTCTAATGCTCACAAATATAGCAGGCCATTCCTCATTATGTCTAATGAAAACCCTAAAATTATACTAATAATTAAATCATTTTGAAATAGTCCACAAGTACAAAGGCAATTAATTAAATATATTAATGCTTTTGTACTCTCTTCCACCACTTTTTCATGCCATTTGGCTGTGCCGACCCTGGCCGAATCACAAATGCTGAATTTAACCAAATCTGCATCAGAAACTTTATAAATAGTTGCCTTTTAAACTCTTTAATCCCATCATCTGAAGAACACAAACCATCGAGGAGACTAAACCACACTTTGTTTACTCCACAATGGCCTCTTCCAAGATCTTCTTCGCCATAGCTGTTGTTGCTTTCTTTGCAGTTCCTTCAAGTTTGGCAACTGAGTTTACAGTTGGTGATGAGAAAGGATGGGCTCTTGACTTTGATTACCAAGAATGGGCGGCTGGGAAGGAATTTCGAGTGGGAGATACGCTTGGTAAACTTTCATTCTCTCTATATATATTATACATGTAAAGTTGAAATGATTTCAGCTGACGAAAACAAGTTCATGCAGTTTTCAAGTACACACCAGGAGTTCACGATGTTCTTAAAGTTAATGGAACGGAGTTCCAACAATGTCGAGCAGCAAATGATAACGTTGTTCCCCTTAGAACTGGGAACGATGTGATCACGCTTTCCACTCCAGGAAGGAAATGGTACATCTGTAGTGTACCGAGGCATTGCGCAGCCAGGAACATGAAGCTTAACATAACTGTGCTTGCTCAAGTGGCATCACCGGCTACTGCTCCGGCATCACCGTCTGCGGCGGGACCGAATGCTGCGTTTAGCTTTTATGGATGGATTGCTGTCGTGGTTAGCTTTATTGGGTTGGTCTTCGTTTAATGTTTCAGTGATGTTACGTGATTGATTCAATGGTTATATTGTTTTTTAGTATTGAATTATTTAAATACCGTTATTTGTTTTTATGAGAATTGATTTGTGGCAATGGTTTGATATGATTATATATAAATTTAGCTTACCTTGATATTTTATAGGGTTTCCTTTTTGGGTTTCTTTAAGCATAATAAATAAATTCTTGGGTAAACTACACTGATGTCCATTTAACTATTATTATTTTATTTTGATCATCGATGTTTCGATTTAATCAATTAGTCCACTCAACTATTTAAATACTTCAATCAAGTCATTGACCGTTAATTTTAAATGGAGATGATGACATGTTAGTTAACAAAATTATCATAACTATACAATTTGTGGCACCTCCGGATTGGAGGATTAATTTTTAAAATTAAATTAAATTATAACTAAATTGATAGAATATGTAATTACTGAGGATCAAATGTATAATTATGCCCATTTTGTTAACTGACACGTCACTATCCCCATTAAAAATTAACGACTAGTGGCTTGATTGAACCATTTAAATAATTGGATAATATGATTAATTAAATCAAAATATTGGTGGTCAAAATAAAATCAGGCAATAGTTAAGTGCTCACCAATGTAGTTTACCCTAAATTCTTTGTCTAAAATATTGAAAAGAGGACGTAGCCCAACCCAAGAAAAAGAAAACGGTGAAATTAATGATAAATTGATAATTTAGCCCACGTTGAAGGCTAAAGGTAAGCCTACAGCCCCGCGCATGTGCACACCAGTATACCATTTCCGACCGTCTAAAGGAAAACAATAAAAAAGGTTGACAGATTCATTCTGGTTTAAAGTTCATGCCCCATATCGTCATGCTAACATCAGAAGAGTCATGTGAAAGTGACTGGAACCGTTCAGATCACATTCACATGTCTCCATGGGCATTATGGGTTCAATTCAAAACCAACTTTTTTTGTAGAATGTATTGCAGCTGATGCTGCTGCAACCACTCAACAACCAGTATGGTTCCAAGGGTTTTTGTGCAAATGCTCCAAGCCTCTTCCAAATGTGTCTTATACTAAGCGTTGGAGCAGATGGAACGAAATTGGCTAATAAAGAAATCAGTGTCAAGACACCACGGACTGAATTGGAATATCAACTTCTTGTATTGATTGCAGGAAAGGCCATGACCTCAAAGCTTACCAACAAATAGGCCTTAAAGCTGATTCATTTGCATGCCATATTTAATACAGAAAATATGGACCATTATGAAATATAAATATGAAAAATTGACTCAGGGATCATAAAGAACTTTGAAATGGAATATAGAAGAAAACTCTTATTCAGATTTCTCAGGACACATGAAAGTGCACCAAAATTTCATTCTCAGGCTGATCAGTCGTACAGAAACATGTTTTCTTCTAAATGCATTTTTGAGATTTACCAGCAAATGAATTTCTTACAACCTCGGAAACAAGGCCAAAGAATGTCAATCATGTTCAGGTTCAAACAACAAGAAGTTCCATGAACAGACAATAATGCACCAGCACAAGACAGATGTTGGGGAGAACTTTGATTCTCATCTAATTTATAGTCCTTTCCCCTCGACCGTTCATATACCATCCAGTTTATCAAAATTCTCTTCTTTGATGCTTTCCCTCCATTAAATCCAATCAAATGTCTAACAAAAGAAGAAGCAGGAAATTGTAATGAATAATGAAAAAGATAAGAAAAAGGCCAGTGTCAAAGGACAATCAAAAAAGAATCTAATCTTGTCTTTTGGACTTTATTATTGTCAATTCGTTGCTAGCTGTGCCTTAGATCTCTTCTTTGCCTCACTGTAAAGCACCACTCCCATGATTGTAACCGCGAATCCGGTCATCCCCATCACAGTCACCGGATTCCTAAAGATCATAACCGACACGAACGCTGCCAATGCAGCTTTGGCATTGCCTAAAACCTGCAACGTAAGGGCACTTGTATGCTTGGTGACCAAAAAATTTGTCAAATTCACCACATAGGCCACCGTGGCATTCCCTAGCAATAAGAAAAGAGAAAATAACTTCAGTGACCAAAAATGCCTTATAATATACGATTTTTTAACTAACTTTTTTTAGATTTGACAAAATGACCAACTAAATCGCAACGCAATCTCCGGTATCGCAAATCAGTTTCCAGATTCGCAACGCGATTCTGACTATCGCATTGCGATTTTCCAAATTCGCGTTGCGATTTTCCTAATTCGCAATGCGAATACGTAAATCGCAATGCGAATACGTAAATCACAATGCAAATACGTAAATCGCAATGCGAATACGTAAATTGCAATGCGAATATGTAAATCGCAACGCGAATCTGACTATCGCAACGAGATTCTGACTATCGCAATACTGAATTTCAAATTCGCAACTCGATTTCTGAATTCGCAACAGGTTTTAGTTTCGCAACACAAATGTTTTGGGTATATAACTACGCAGCAGCAGCAACTCATAACCTAAATCCCTAAATCGCAACTCATTCCATCTCCATCTATCACTCTCTCCGACGACATCCGTTCCTATATCCAACGACATCCTTCCCCATCCGGCAACAGGTTTTAGTTTCGCAGCTCGTTTGTTTAGTAAATTAATTTACAATAATGAAATCATCTAATGTTGATCATGTTTTGGATAGATTTGTGTTTTGGAGGGTCATGGGAGAATGTTCATGGTGTTTTACAATATATGCCTTTACCCATGAATCTTCAACTAAAACTGTCATTAAAAAAGTTAACTTATGAAACTATAATGTTACGTGTTGCAAATAAATTGAATTTAGAGCCCCTAAGTGGATTTAGGTTATCTTATCAGAGAAATGGTAAAGTTTATTTGTTAACCGACAATGAAGATGTTGAACGATTTATTGCTTACATTAGTGTTTCAAGTGATGATGTTACATTGTATGTTGTTGAACCTAGAAGTAGTGAAGTTGGGTCAGTAGCGGGTAGTAATCAACTAAGTTTTTCAACCCCAGTTTATGGTGCTCAAAATTTAATGGTTCCACCACAATTTCATCACCAAACAAATATTGTTTCACCACATTTCCAATACCAAACACAATCTCAAAACCCATAACATTTCCCTAATCCAAATCCCAATCAACTTTCAGTACCAAATTCCGGTTTTCGTATTGACCAGTTAGACGATGATGAGCCAACAGAAAAAAATTGTGAGTACTAGTCAGTATTCGAAATTTGATCTTTGGTCAATACCCGGACTTTGATCTTGGTCAATACTCGGATTTTGATGATTTTTCAGAAGAAGAAACAGACCCTGCATGTAATGATTTTAATATTGGTCAATACCCGAATTTTGATGATGAAACAGCCGTTGCCGAGGAAGATGTTATTGATGATAATGAGGAGGAAGTTACGACTGTAAATGAACATGTTGAACATTCATTCTGTAATTCATATAACCCTGAAGAAGAAAACGAAGAAGAAGAAATCCCCAAAGAAAAGTCCCCGAAGAAAATGCCACGGGAGTATAACTGGAATATGCCAGAATTACTTCAGATACCGGAAGAAGAGTTGGTAAAGATAGCAGTTGATTGTTACACAAAAATTATTCGTATCAAGAAAGATGATTGTTTTGATACAAAGGAAGACTTGAAGATAGCTTTGTATACGAAATGTGTGGAAGATGGCTATCAACTAAAAGTTAACAAATCAAGCAAAGATCGTTTCGAAACAAGGTGTATGATTGACAAAAACTGTATGTGGCGTATGATTGCAAAGAGGATAAAAGATTGCGAAATATTTCAAGTTAGGACTTTTATTGATAAACATACATGTTCAAGAACCCAAGTTTTTCCTCACCATAGACAGGCAAACAAAAATGTGTTGGGTGGTTTTCTGGCTGAGTTAATGTTTTTGAATGGCAGGGTATATCGGGGACATGAAATTATGACTGACATGAATGCTCGGTTCAAGATTAGTATCTTATATTCTTAAGCTTGGAGAGCCAAATGTTATGCCTTGGAATTGTTGAGTGGGTCGCCAGAAGCATCGTTTGCCCAACTGCTGGCTTATTGTCACAATTTAAAGCTGCAAAAATCATGGGTCGGTAACTCATATCAAAACAGATAGAGATGGACGCTTTGAGTTGCTGTTTATCGCCATTGGTGTTGCGGTTAGTAAATCAATATAATTTTGTTGACTCATTTTTGTACATACATTTCACATTTAAATGATTATATTTCTTGTGTATATGATTTTGTAGATACGTTCGTTTATTACTTGCATGCGCCCAGTTATTATAGTTGACGGAGCACATTTAAAAGGTCGATACCTTGGAGTAAACTTATTAGCAGTAGCCATGGATGCTAACAATGGGATACTGCCAATAGCTTACGGGGTTGGCAAATCTGAAACCTCTGATTCATAGACATGGTTTATGGGGCATCTTAGGGATTGCATAGGTTCTATTAGCAATCTGACAATCATATCTGATAGGGCAAACTCAATTGACAACGCTGTTAGAAGGTGTTTCCCAGATGCTTTTCATGGACTTTGTGGTGTTCATTTGTATAGAAATCTAAAATCAAGGTCTGCTGGTATAAAAAATCACAAATGGACATACTGGAAGGCTGAAAAAGCTTATCGGGAAGTGGATTTTAATAAGCATATAAACTGTTTAAGACGTGTTTTGCCTCAGTGTGCTCAAACACTAGAAGGTGTCGGGTTTGAAAGATGGTCAAGAGTACATCAACTTGGAGCAAGATATAGTTTCATGACGTCTAATAGTGCAGAATCAATCAACGCTCTAAGTCGTCATTCCCGGAAATTACTCATTACTATGTTAATGGAGTTTTTTTGAGCCTCTATTCAACAGTGGTACTACAAGAAAAGAAACCATGCAGGTATTATTTCTTTAAATTCGTAACTTATCATATATTTTACTAAGTATTATTTATTTAAATTTACAAGAACATTGGAACATCGTGTTACACCATGGACTGAAAAAAAGATAACGAAACGTGTTGTGAAGTCAACGTCAGGGAGAGTTGAACCATGTTCAAACACTTTGTTTGAAGTACTGGATAATAACTTAAATGGGCTTATCGATATAAATGCAAAGACGTGTAGTTGTATGAAATGGCAAACATCTGGTTATCCGTGTGGCCATGTTATAAAAGTTGCTCTTCATCTAAACCAAGATGATTCAAGCGCATACGCTATGGATTGCTACACTACAGAAGTATATCGACAGACTTATGTCGAGATTGTCTACCCTATTCTACATCCTTCGGAGTGGGACATACCAGATGACTTACAAACAGTTTTGCCACCAGCCATGGACAGAAGACTACCTGGCCGACCAAAAAGTCACGATCGTATACCGTCTAAGGGTGAAGAGAAGAAGAGATCGACATGTAGTCGGTGCAAGGAAAGTGATCATACAAGGTTGACATGTGGATCACCAGTGCCATCACAATCATATTTTCCTCTACCAAAATATAGATCCTCATCAAAATCCCAATCACAACCGGCTTCACCTTTTGGGACTGTTAACTTAGGTGATTTTTAAATGCAAACGTTCTATTATGTGTATATTATGTGTGAACTTTTAACATTTTCAGTTAGGCATGTATTAGTAACTTGAGTTTGAACATTGCTATGATATGTTCAGTTGTTATCACTTATTAGACATTCATTTGACTATCGCAACGCGAAAATCGCAACGCGAATATGACTATCGCAACATGGAAATGACTATCGCAACGCGGAATTGACTATCGCAACGCGGAAATGACTATCGCAATGCGAAATGAAAATCACAACGAGAGAATCGCAATGCAAAAATAAAAATCGCAACGCGAATTTAGTTTCGCATTGCGATTTTCATTTTCGCATTGCGATTCTCTCGTTGCGATAGTCTGTTTTGCATTCAACATAATGCAGATTGAAATCAACAAATCAACTATTACATTTCAATCAATTAAACAATCACAAATAATAATTATGTACACATCAATTGAATAAATCAACATTTATAAATCATCTTTTACAAATCAATTAAACAATCAAAAAATAATAAGAAGAATTATTTCCTCATCAATTATTGAATCAACTTTTGCACCTATACATCCATTTCACGTAGCTCACTTCAGGATTAACCTGCAGAAACCAAACATTGAATCAACAACACTTTCTACACATCTAAAACATACAAACAACAAATTATTGAATTATAGCTACTTAACCAAACATTTTCAAACCAAAAAGAGTATATATGTTTAACAACACTTGCATTTGACTTACAAATTGTTTATGGACACTTTCATAACGCGGATGCAGGTAGGCAGCGTCTCGCATATATCGTTCTAGCCATAAAATGCCGAAACCACAAGCCTACTGCACCTCTATCTCTATCGGTGGGAGGTAGAAACTGTGTACTTCCTGTCGTCAAACGCTCCAAGCACATGCATACGAGAGGACCACAATCCCCTCTGGCTTCCTTCCTTTGTTGTGGCGCGGTCTCGTCTCTGATAACTGTAAAATTGAACTTCTTTGGCTTCTTGTTTCCAGAATTAGTCCAATAATTAATTGCATCCAAGAATTTAGTCAAATGAGAGCTCCATCCCTTAATAATATCTCTCAAATCAGACAATGATATGTAATTTATCATGCTGTCATATACTATTGTCTTTAGGGATGGGAGCTGAAGCTTGACGAGAAGCCAATTAGTACGTTTCAAAACAGGGATAAACACTTGCATCGAAATGTAATAATTCAAATTGCGCACTTATTTATGAACACCTTTAAAATATTTAAATAAATAAATACTAACCTTATCGACTTCCCACCATGCTAATAAAGTTTAGCTTGTCCATTAGCCAACACATATGATTCCTGTCGTTGATTCTTCAAGTGAACTACGTGAAAAGACGTCGGCATAATTGTATATAGCGTTTTTTTATATTTTTCTTCAATTTCCTTACAATTAGAAGGCGTGTCACCCATGCATCAATATGTTGTTTTACAAAAAAAGACATATATTAGTGAATTACATAAATTTTAAAAAAAATTAATCAAACTGAAATATAAGAAGAAATATAAGACTTACCCCTCCATCGAAATAGCTGTTGTCTTCAACCCCTAATAATACACCCCACCAAGACCGTTCAATCAATAAATGCATATCATCGTTGAGTTTGTATATGTCAGCGTAACACCCTTGGCTCCGCTCATGTAGATAAAAATCAACTGCGATCTTAGTCCAAAGGGTATTATCCAGAATTGTTTACGGTAGTTGTTTCCTCTCCACTTCATCTGCCGGAATGGTACTGGCTGGTAACTTATACGAAAGCCAACAGTCATCCATCATGTCCGGCACGTGAAGGGGCTTCTCAATAATTCGATATATTACGCCGTGTGAATCGGGCTCTAGAATGTTGGGAGGGACCTCTTCAACGATGACAGTGGCCTCTTGAACGGTGGGAGGGGACTCTTGAGGGATGATAGGGGCCTCTTGAACGATAGGGGAGGCCTCTTGAACGATGACAGGTGAGTCGGGCTTTTTCTTACGGATTCTTTGCACTATTGGGGTGAACGGAGACGTAATGGCACGTGCACACCGTCGATACGTGAACTCCGTCTTGCAAGAAAAACCCGACGTAGAGCATCCACCTTAGCGGGCCGCTAAAAATAAATTAATACATAAATCAGTAAATAAACAGACATGATATTAAACAGTGAAAACAAAGACAAATATATTTCAAACTTGCACGGTATTCATCCAAGTCATTATTATATCATTGTTCACAAAATGCATCAGATAACATTCCAGAAGTAAGCACTTATATAAACATTTAAAAGGACAACATATAGGTTTAGTGCAGGTTCAATGACAACATAAAAGAGTAGTAGTTTATTCTTGAAACTTAAATTTTCAACACTGTGAAGTTAGTATTTGTCTTTTGGTTGAAGTAATGCAATTCATTCAAGTTTCAATTTGCAGAAGAAGAATAGAATCTAAAACTTAAAATCACAACGCGAAAATGACTATCGCAATGCGAAAATGACTATCGCAATGCGAATTTAACTATCGCAAAGCGAATTTGACTATCGCAACGAGAGAATCGCAATGCGATTTTTATTTCACATTGCGATTCTTTCGTTGCGATAGTCAAATTCGCATTGCGATAGTCATTTTCGCATTGCGATAGTCATTTTTGCGTTGCGACTTTGTTGTTGCGATTTTCATTTCGCATTGCGATTCTCTCGTTGTGATAGTCATTTTCGCGTTGCGATAGTCATTTTCGCATTGTGATAGTAAACTATTCTTCTTCTGCAAATTGAAACTTGAATAGATTGCATTACTTTAACCAAAAGACAACCAAAAACAAATACTAACTTCACAGGGTTAAAGAATAAACAGTTAAACAGTATTGGCAGCAACCGAATGAATTTACTAAGCAATCTAAGTGAAATTACGAGTAAATTTATCATCAAGTTAATTATGAAAAATATTAAACTTACCTCGTTGCATAGAGTATGAACCTCGTTCTGCAACGATGCTACAATCTCACGTAGAGCTGTTACCTCACCACGTAAAGTAGACACCTCAACACGCCATGCACCATTGTCATCGCGTAAAGTACCGACCTCCTCACGCAAGGCATTGACCTCATTACGTAACTCTCCTAACTCATCCCGTGGAGGTGGAGGTGGAGGTGGAGAACATGGAGATAAACGTCGTGGTATCTTTTTCGGTCGCCTATCATGAGGTGATGATGGAGAAGAGGCTCGATGATGTGACAGAATAGGTGATGACTCTTGTTGTGGAGGTGTATATTCGGGTCGATCAGGTGATGGCTCTGGGTGAGGTGATGGCTCTCGAAGTGGTGGTTGCTCATCATCCGTGCCATCAAAAAAACGCTTGCTAGCTTACCACCAATCAGTGGCAAGCTCAGCTTCCGTGGGTGTCAGCCTCTGTAATGGAGTGTTGGCCTCCTAACAATATAAAAGCTCAAACAAAGTTAAACGTGTACTAATAATAACTTGTTTATAAACATATGGTAGTATTTGTGTTAACTTATATTATTTATTGTAGTATACAGTAGTAAATCTTCCCATTGTTGCAATGACCGTTTCCTCTTCCAGGAAATAGACCTAGGAATATCATTAGAAGTTTTTAATGCATATGTCTGCATGGCGGGAAATGACTCAAATATCCAAATCTACAAACAATATAATAACAAACATTAGTAATTGTTAAAGAATTAATTATAATTTTAGAAACATTATATAAAAAGTATTACCTTAAAGGCCCAAATAAAGCCTGACAAAGTGTATTTGGAACCATCGCCACGCAAAATTTTCCAATCATCAAAGGCAGACGACAACTTATTCCATGTAGCTTTCCATAGATACGAACCCCACGGAAACATGTTCCATGCATTTAGGTCATCTACCAATTTAATTAGATCATTAGGAATAGGTTGTCGGGCCTCTCTACCTAAAAAACCGACTTGCAAAAGTATTAGAAGGCATACTCGGACAACATCGACGTCATCCATCCGAGTAAAACCATCTTTCTTATTCAATAATCTCGTCAAGTCTTCCACGTGTAAATTCGACTTCTCCGTTGACAGCTCAGGAAAAACCCAGGAAAACCATGATAGGCGGGTAATATGTCTAGTGTATCGATCTACATCATCGTGTCCGAAGCGTAGACCGGTGATTAAGCAAAACTCCTCCCGCCCAAAACACATATACGCCGGTGGAAAATCAAATCATATCTCTTCATCACGACGTTGTATAGTCTCTGGTAGATCGCTAGTCATGGTTTGAAGAAACAGATGGGTCAACATAGCATCTCTACCCGGATGTTGTACTTTCAGCCATGGCCCGAAGCAAGTATCCTCAAATATTTTTCTTTGTGCAGGTGAAAGCTTCGACGCAATTGTTTTGGCCAGGCTTACTTTATTTCTTAAGGTCAATTGAGCTGAATAAAAGTTCTGCAAAAACAATAAACATACCAAGTTAGATATACCAAAAACTACACTGTGAAGATATAACAAGAACAATAAACATAAAGAGTAGTAGTTTATTCTTCAAACTTAAATTTGCAACACTGTGAATTTAGTATTTGTCTTTGTTTTTTGATTGAAGTAATGCAATTCATTCAAGTTTCAATTTGCAGAAGAAGAATAGTTTCTGAAACTTAAAATCGCAACACGAAAATGACTATCGCAACGCGAATTTGACTATCGCAACGCGAATTTAACTATCGCAACGCAAAATGAAAATCGCAACGACAGAATCGCATTGCGATAGTCATTCTCGGTTTCAAATACTAAAATTGAAAGAAACTTGAATGGATTGCATTACTTCAACCAAAAGACAAAACAAAGACAAATACTAACTTCACACGGTTAAAGACTAAACAGTTTAGCAGTATTGGTAGCAATCATATAAATATAATAAACAATCTAAGTGAAATGGTTAATCTATTATTGAAAACACCAGTAAACTTATCACCAATTTCAATATGAAAAACCTAATAATAATGCAAAAATTTAAAAATAAAAATAATTAAAAAAACTAACCCTCGGTGGTTGATTTGGTTGATTTTCCATTTCTGACCGTGAATGATTTCGTCGGAGATGGAGACTGATATCGTCGGAGATGGGGACTGATTTCGTCGGAGATGGGGACGGATGTCGCCTTAGAGAGTGGGAGATGGAGATGAGACTGAGTTGTGATTTAGGGTTTTAGGTTATGAGTTGCGATTACAGGATATACTGTGGACGGTTCAGTGTTATGATATATTAATATAGTCGTGTTTAGAATTTGAAAAAAAAATACTCGTTGGATACGAATGACGCTATGTAAATCGCATTGCGATAGCCAGATTCGCGTTGCGATTTACGTATTCGTATTACGATTTACGTATTCGCATTGCGATTTAGGAAAATCACAACGCGAATTTAGAAAATCGCAATGCGATAGTTAGAATCGCATTGCAAATCTGGAAACTGATTTGCGATACCGGAGATCGCATTGCGAATTATCGATCGCATTATGATTTAGTTGGTCATTTTGATAAATCTAAAAAAATTTGATTAAAATCGTATATTATAAGATATTTTTTATAATTGAGATTATTTTCTCATAAGAAAATGATGAAAGCATCACTCTTGCTTTCTCTAATGCGACTTTCGCAATGTTCCCTTCGATGTATAGAGTAAATGGTAGCAGAATCATGGCGGCCATAGGCGCCATATACAACAACAGGTTCATCGAATGTAGCTTCTCGGCTTCGCTGGTTAACAAGATCCCTTGAACCACAGATTTCAGAGCACGACCAGCGGTTGAACCAATGCAAATCAAGAAGCCAAAGAGATTAAACAAGGGCTCGCTGTTACTCGCCAAAACGATCCCACAGACCACAGGCAGAAGAGCGAAATAAACCTCGGCGGATTCCTTCTTGCAAGTAATTAGGAAAGCGAAAACGGCGGTAAAGAAAGGCGTCGTAGCACCAATAGCTTGGTTAAACGACACAGGGATGTACCTTAAAGAAGTGTTCCCACACACGACGGAGAAACAAAAGATGAGGCTCAGAGCAAAGATCTTGAGGAACTGCTTCCTCGACAAAATGTGTTGCCTTGGAACTATTTTGAGTAAGTTTATGGCCACGTAGCTGTAACAAGCACACGAGATCATGTGAAGCATGGTGAGGAAGATTGGATAACGGTAGCCATAGAAGCTGAGGAGATACTTGTTGAGTAAAAGGACCCCAATGTTGGACATGAACTAGGAGCCGATGATCAGTGCCGTTAAAAGGTTAGGAGAGAGATGGGATCCAACGGTGTGGATGCTGTTCCTAACATCAGCAGTTGGAGTCAGCGGAATGTCCAAAACCTCGTGGTCGGCAGTGGCCGTTGAGTCCAGTCTTGGGTTGCTCATCCGTCTTGTCGTCCATGTCTGCGCTTCCACCATTTTGGGTCTTTCGGGATGACCGTAAAATTGGCAACCTCAAAGACTCAAACTTGGATTTTTTTTTACGTGGGTTTTATCCGCTCTCTCCCAATAATAATAAAAAGAATTCTTTTTTTATTTTTTGGCTGTGGCTGGGTAGATCTGAAAGAGTGAAGGAAATGATCCAATCTGAAGGCGCAGATTTAGATTAGAAAAAAGTAGAGAAACGGGAAGAGTTGGATTAGGAGAGAATAATCCAACTAGATTTGGTGGTGAAAGGAGTTTTAAAGTTGGGGGAGTGTTGTCGGTGATGGATTAGCAGCAAGCAAAACTATGATCTGATTCTGAATCCTGACCCTTTTGCTCTTCTATTTCAATTAATTAATTAAATTTTTACCTACTATTACTAGATGATTAGACCCATGATTTAGCCGAAAGGCGTCTAATCTTATTTAATAGCGTAGGTTAATCTTAAACCTTTACGTCCAATCATTTAAAGGCCACATAATTCCAATTGTATATTTTCTTTGTCACGTGATCAACCTCTCATATTCCAAATATTTTTGGTGTTCCACGATCCTAAAAAAATAATAACAATTCCTTATTATTGAGTTCGTGCTGTTATTATTATTTGGATAAATTATAGTGCCTCTTTTAGGCGGATAAGGATTAATTTTCCCAAATCTCGTCCCATAAATTAAGCTAAAGTCAACTGAGGAGATAGGGCAAGACTTGATTCAAATGGAAAATCCTTGGGCCAAGCTTTGGACGGCTTAGTAGCTGCCTCTATTATGGATATTATGTGTCATGTGAAATGTAATGTTGTTAAAATATTACATGGTTAAGTTACCAATAGAAATAGGCTGGACGACTTATTTCATAAATTATTTTTGTATATTTTTATTTTGGATTTTTTAAATCAACTTTATAGTTATGAACATAAATTATTTGTATATATAAGAGGAGGAAGTTGGGTTATCTGCAGGATGAGGTGTTAAACGAAGATTTAGTTATTAAATATATAAGTTTTTCAAAGGATTAATATAAAAATAAGTATTCTTAAGTTAACTTTAGATATTTGTTTATTTTTTATTAAAAATAAGTGTTTAACGTTTTCGACATTATATTTTTAGGTGTTAAAACCATAATACTCATTGAATTCGATCGTTATCTAATACATGTTGAACTTTTTTCAAATACGAAACCATTTTACTTAAAGAAGCAACTTCACTTGAAAGGAGTAATATCGTCAAGTATCATGATAATTCTGAAGTATTGAGCCATTTCTCTCGAAACACATAGTACCCTTCATTTAGTGCATTGACAATGAGTAGGCTAAATATGTTGTAAATGAAACGAGATATATAATAAGTTATTTAAATTTTATTTAAACAAAATTTAATAAATATTCGATCGAAATAAACTTGACTTGAACTCAAATTCAACTCATTTTTTTTAATAAAATAAAACGAGTCATTTGATACTCGATTCCAAAAGCACATGAGTAAATCAAACAATAATATACTAAAATTTTAATTTAATTTTAAATATATATAAATTGTATATTATTCTCACATACTTAAACTTCATGTTCGAGCTAAAATTTGAACCGAACTCAAAATCAAAGTTTAATTGAACTAAATCTGACAAATTTTAAGTTTAAGATTTTTCTAGCTAAAGTAGAACTTTAATTTTGATTTTTGATCATTTTAAACTCATGAATTTTTCAACCGAATTGAGTTCAATTTTAAAGTTTTCAAATCAAATAAACTAACTCATATTAAATGCGTACATGTAAAAGGTCTCGTATGACAAAGTTGGGTGTTTCCAATAGTTGAACACACATGCCAAAGGAATTCATTTGGCATTGCTATTGTTGAAAATAATAAAATTGGAAAATATATGAATATCAAAATCATCATATGTAGAAGTTACGAAATGATTTAGGTTAAAGAAGTAGAGATTATACACTAACACAGAGAAAGTTTGTTATATCATTCAACGACGACATTAAAAAAGAGCGACAGCACCAAAATTAACTGCAAACTATTGCCACGCATCCAACCCAATGGAGCCCATCATCATCACTGCTGCTCACTCCCCTTTTCACCAAGCAATCCAACTAAACTACAAACACCATTAATGTCTCTCACATCTCAAACATTACACCAAATCAAAACTCTCTCTTTTTGCTCCTAAAATCAATGAAATTGCAGTGATGATTCAGATTTTCGATTGCTTCCTCGAAGAACACTCTTTGGAGAGAAACCAATGAAGCCGGAAGAAGAGAGGTTGCTGCCATTATTACTGTTACTACTGCTGCTGTCGAGTTGCAGAGAAATGGAAAGGTTGGTGTCGGCATTTACATGGCTAATACGACTTCTGGTGGTAGCTTCAGAAGTCTCCACTAGCTTTTTTGAACGCTGACGGCCTCGGTGCATGTGTCGCTCGCAGTATTTGTGATCCAGGACAGCTTCTTTGCTGCACCTCCATTTCTTCCCATCTGTACGTCTACATCTTCCTGGCTCTGGATCGATTCCATTCTTGTACTCCAAGTGCAATGACCCACAACCCAAAACTGGACCAACATCCAACAAAGTAATTAACCAATAAAAAAATATACATATACAGTACTAGGGAGATGGTTTTGGGTACTTACATCCGGAGTAGAGTTGATAAGGGCTGCCGTGGATGCCGCCAAGAGAACCGGCAACACTTTTCCAAATAGGGAGAAGAAGGTGATTAGGGACAGGTAGACCAGCTTCCATGTACTTGTATATGAGAGATTGAAGCTGTAGTTCCTGCAACTGAAAAACTATGAACCCACATGATTTTGTGAATCCGGTTGGTCTATGACTAGACCCACGTCCAAGCTCCAGACCTAGCCCGACTGGAGGCGACCCATCTCCTCCTCCTCCACTCAACATACCACTCTCCATGTTCCAGGAATCACCCAAATCTCTAAGTCCAATTCCTGCAAAAAAGAGAGAAAGAAAGTTACCAATGGATGATAATCAAATTTTTTGAGAGTAGAAAGATGGTAAAAAGGTACCCAAGTCTGCAAAACGGGCAATCTTGAGAGGTGTGTGTTGAGGTCGAGGCTCCATTTGTTGATAAATCAGATAAGAAGAAACAAAGGGTCAATCCCAAAAAGCAGTATGGACTGCAATACACACACAGAGTTAACAGTAGTAAAGGGTAAAGAGATACACTACACACGCTCTGAAAGTTGCAGCAGTAAGAATAGATTTAGTTCATGGCAGAGAAAGAGAGTAATTGGGGATGGGTGAGTTTTTCTTTTCAATATAAACAAAAAGGAAAAATGAGAAATGAAAATTCTCTGTGATTTTAAAACTGACAAATGCAGCAAATGACACCAAGCAAGCACGCCCCAGTTGTTTTTCTATGAATCCCCTTGTCCCTATCTAAACACAACGGGACGAAGATTAAAGTGAGACCGAAAGTATTCTGACATGTCAGAACAACTCTGCAGGGTGTTTGCAGACATAACGCGTATGTCAGATCATTGAATCGTGACAAGTAGAGAACGTGGGACCCGCATAATATGACAATTTTTTTCCTTGTTACGAACAAGCAACTGTTTGATTTTCATTAACATCAGATGATACTTTATGAGAAGGCATTATAGTAAAGGGAGTTAAAATTTGATATGAGAAAGTGATGGATGAGGAGGATTTGGTCAATAGTTGCGGCTTCGAAGTTTTTTTTTGTAGCCCATTTATGGGAGACCCAAATTAAGAAGGCAGCCAAAACTTGAATCATACATTGAATTAAACCTTTATAAGTACAGGATTACGGATATTTCCATATGTATGTAATTTTAGCATCGTTGTAGTCGTGTCAGCTGGCTATTGCTTCGTGTGATGAATGACCAAAGGTTAAAAACAGAAATGTGTTCCTACATCACATGTTTTTCTCATTTTAATCACTCAAGAAATTGGTAAATTTAAGGAAATATTACGGGTGATTTTTTTAAGGAAATGCAATTGTTGAGTAATTAATTTAAAAATTAAATCATTTATCACTGCATATATGGAACTCGTTATGCTTACACCACGAGTTTCTTATTATATTAAAAATTTAAAACACATTATATTCACGCGACGAGTTTTAATTATTTATTATATTTTATAAAATTCGTCACCTTTACATAACGAGTCCTAAATACACTGTAGTAAATGAATTAAAGCTCAAAATAATTTTCTAACAGCTACATTTCCCAAAAAAAAAAAATCCGATTCAATTATTTCACTAAATTTATCCAAGAAATTACTTATTCCCAATAAAAGAAACTTTGACACCATAATAATTAAATAAAATGCACAAAATTTTCACGTAGATCAAATAAATTTACTAATATATGTATATATATATCATATTATAAATGCAACATATTACATTACATTACAACATATTATTCCCTAAACCCTTCCCCTTAAGTAATGTAATGTATCTTTTTTGTTTAGAATGTTAAATGAATTTGTAATAATGAAACTCGGATGTTAAATGATTTGTATTGAATTGAAGTGAGTTGAAATTAAAAGTAAATTTATTTAATAGTTTACTTAAAATTAAATATTAAATATAATTAAATCATTTGATAAATATAAATTATAACAGACAATATACTTTCAATTTCCCATTAAAGCATAAGTATATCTTTACCTACTTAATATTTTCCACACTTTTCCGTTAAAAGTTTAAAATATTAAACACTAAAATTATTAATTTTCAATGAATTATCAATCAAACTAAAGAAGGAAACAACTATCATAATATATATATATATCCTTTTTATTTCAAGCTTATTGAAAAGAAATCAACAATTCATCACATTCCTTTTCCCTTGTCTAATTGTCCAAGGAAGTGAATTTCCATTGCAACTGAAATGAAAAGCAAAATTTGCATACTTACATTGCCCATGATGAGAAACTGGATTTAGGAGGTCTTGACCCAGACATTGCAGATGTAGAGCTATTACAGATCTTTTCCGCCAACATTACATCAAACTCAGACATGGAATCACCCATGGTTTATTCATGCAAAAACGTCTTGTAATTTCGCACCAAGACCGTCAGAGGATCTAGGAAGTGCAACCATGACAAAGAAAAAGGGTTATCCCAGCATATCCTCAAAGGAAACTAACGTAAATAGACAACACATACACCTTGCTTCTCGGCACTGCAACAAGCAAATATTTGGAAAGAATCTACCTTTGGAGAAGTGTCATAATCGGCATGCTGGACTCTGGAAGTCACGTCTAACCATCCTCAATGCAGCGGTGAAGGAATGCTGCCTACAACGGCCAAAACTGAATGAAAGATGCGAATTTACTGCCTGCAATAATAAACTCATTGGACCAAGGTCCTTCGATATTAACTCAAATATCACAAAGGGAATGGCTGACTATCAACTGATAAATAGGAACATGGTACTCCCACAGCCAGCATTCCTACAGGTCAGTTTGTAAGCCATGCTGATGTTGACATACTTTATAAAATTGCCAAGTGAGCGGGATGGGGAAATCGGGATGCTTAAACATAGATCAGTCAAATGCTAAGAAAATCCCTTGCATACAATGGACATCTTCATTATCCAATTTAGATTAATGGGTCAATAAGTCGGATACCGGTGATTATACAAAAAAAACACATACAATACCATATGAAGAGATAAATCATCCATTTTCTGTCAAACTTGGACCTCTTGGTCCTCATATACACACAAGGAATGTAAAATTGCTGGTGACGCAAATTCATCCTATGAAATTATGGTTACAGCACCAAAAGGAGTTGACTTTATTGTGAAGCCTAGTACACTATACCTCCGAGAGCTAACCTGAAAGTTGATAAAATTTTCTCGAGTAGAATTGACTAGTAAAATTGGTGAACTCACTCGACGGTATATCAAATGGTCTACTAAACGCTTTGTTTGGAGCCCAACGTAGTAAGGTTTGAGTAAGAAACATTTGCACAAAGAAAAAGGAGCAGTCTTTCAAATGTAATGTCAGAGATATGAAGACTAATATTGGGTGCCATCACTGATTTGTAAGTTGCAACATCTTAACTTCTCTCTTTGTTGTTCAGTAACATTGCAAAATTTTCAACCTGATGGCCCATGATACTCTGGCTCTTCATTTTCCTTTAAGTAACTGTATAAGAATCCAAAGATATGAGGAAATTCAGAAAAAAAAATTATCATTATTGTGTCGGATACATACTCGTATCTAACACTCGCTCACCCATTGCAACCAGGTATAGATGTGGACTGCCCTTTCTTTTCTAATTTAATACATATTAACACTAGATGAAGTTAACAAAAAAGAAAAAAGAAAAAAGTAAATAGTAATCATAACTAACAGAAGATCAACGGGAACAATAAGAGTTCTGAGAAAAACCCCATAAAAAGAATTTTATATATAGTCATTTCATGTGCCAAAGAAGTCCATACAATGTGCATTAAAAAGAATAGAAACATGTGGAACGCAGCCTGTTTGGTGCTTAAATCAAGGTAAATTTCTAAAAGAAAAATAGAGACCATAAAAGGTGCATACAAAATTCAGAAAGTTGTTCAAAAGGAGTTCCAAATGGTTTTATTTTTCAAATCCCTACCTTATGCATTATCAAAAGCTCCAAAACATTAGTTTTTAGTAACAACGAAACAAAGTAACTAAGGTAAGGAACTCGGGAAGACCAATAACTGACAACAAGAATGGTTGTTTTAGTTATAAAAAAAGGCCTTACATATTAGTAACTATTTTCTGATTCTCAAGAATGTTAGTATAAGTTCATTCAAAATCAAATAAAAAACATAGGCATAAGGAAAGAAAATAAAAGAAACAATATGAATCTGATTATCAGAGATAGCAGACTAAGAGCTCCCTCCCTGACTGAAACAGAAAGGAGAGCCTTTTTGAGCAGAAAAAAAGGTACATGGCCTCAGTAGCTCATTACCGATATTTATAGAGAGCCACATTTACAGCTGCACAATGCCAGTTGGAAATGACTTGCAAATTGACTCTCATCAACCAAATCCAGGAGGCACATCAGGGTCCTCATCACTGACATCACATGGCTGCTTCTAGTCAATATCTTCCGAAAAGCCAGGTGGCACACCAACACCAACATCAACACCACCTTCTTCCCGCCCTACCTGTGAATGACTGGGCTGTTCCTTACAGTTTTCCACAGCCCCGTCAAAAGGCCTAGGAAGATGCTTCTTTGCCTTGTGAAGCTGTTGACAGTGGTTGCTGTGACAATTATTAGACAGAGAAACCTGGTGGTTCTTTCGGCTCGGCATCAGATAATGTCTCATCAACTCTTCTAGTTGTAGCCTTAATGGTACCATTATTCTCAGACTCCTTTTCAACTCGTACCACGATGGACGATTCACCCTTTTCTTTCCCGTGAGGATTAGCTAATTTACTGTAAACAGATTGTATTGTTTCTGTAATTTCGCTTCTCATGCCACCTTCTGATCTTATTATTCGAAATTTGACCCATCAATTTGTTCCTAACGGTCATATAAAACATTAGAAGTATCAGAATAACATCAACATTCTTGAACAAACGGAAATCAACCGACAAGAATTATAAAAGCCGGTGAAGCATGGTTTTTAGAACCGGACCGGTTAACGAACCAGACCGGTTAGCAAACCGGTCATGATACCAGTTCACTGGTTCAACCGGTCGAATCGGTCCGACCGGTCGGAAGAACCGGACGACGTAATAATTATTTAAAAAATTAAATAAAAATACCAAAAATATTTAATAAAAAATAATTTTTTATATCACAAGTCATATTTAAAGCAAGTTATAACATATATAAATTAAAAACCATAAAATCAAGTGAAACAAAATGATTCAAATTAACTACAACAAAATATTTAAGATAAAACATATTAAATAATAAATATAATTATATAACTATAATTAAAAAATAAATTTGGAGCTAAAAAAATCATAACAAAATGATATTGTTTGATTTAATTTTTTAAAAAAAAACAATCTCACATGGCTAAGAAACATATAAGAGCATCCCAAAAGTTTAAAGAGAAAATATGAGAACAAAACAATCCCATATTGCTAAGAAACATAGAAGAACATCACAACTAACTTCTA